TTAAACAAGCAAGTAACATTACACCGGCGAGGGTCAAAGGTATACCATCCATAACGAGGGTAAAAATGTTAAAATAAATGTCAATATAATCAGATAAGGGTGATCGGGAGGGATTTTCAGATCGTTTTTCCGTTACACAAAGCACAAATGCACCGGACGGAAGTATGTCACACATGATTTACATAGGTGAGCTTATTGTACCGTTTACGGAAGTTAATCGATGAAGCATTCTAAACCAGCTATTCAGGTTTCAGCTTACGCGGAAGATGTCGGCATACGGGAGTATTTAAATGAGACTGGAGACAAAGAGTTGAGGGAGGGGACGATGCGGAAATAGGTGTGGACTTAGGTGATGAAGACTAATGCGCAGAAGTTAAGGGAAGCCATAAACGTTCAAACGAACTTCGTGCTTTTCGCCACGGTGGCGAACGCGCTTTAAGTAGTCATGGGGGAGGCCTAACCATGGCGTCCTTTGTTGAGTGTCATCATGTTGGGGCTATAGAGACAGCATTATACCATTGTTCCTCCGCTCATGCAATGGGCTAACCTGAGTTATAACATAAAATGGCCAGTACTACCGTGTGACGTAAGGACCATACAATCCTCATAGTAAGAAAAGAGAGTGGCGGGTGAAATGCTTATTTTTAGAAGGGGCCAAAAATAGTTGTGCAAAGCTAAGCCAGCGGAGCACATGGGCGACCATCAGCAATTGGTATGGAAGATGTTTTGGCGGCAGATAAGAATGGGATAATCGGGAATTAAACAAAAATTACTGTAGGAGGACTTTGGCGAACACATCTCTTTGCTTTCCTTGCATTCTCCGATTTTCCTAATTGGTTCAGCTTAGACAGCTCTTCCGCAGGATATTTTGCCCCGCACGTTTAGAATCATGTCGTTTATTTGGGCAGACTACTTCAGTTCGAGCATGCAAGTTGGTACAGTGTTTCCAGTCCTGTTTCAATATCTAATATCTGCAACATCTTTTAGCGAGCTAGTGTAGACCAGGTGATTTGTTTGCACTAGCTTCCAGGTCCTGCGGAGTGGTTACAGGTCTTTGGTGGATTCCGATGCAACAGGTCTACCCACTCGCCAGGTATACCTCTGGTTAGCCCGGGGGGCGGTGGGGGTGTGCTCATGTAGAATTTCCGCACAACCATTTTCCAGAATGTGCCGTATGACTGCAAGCGAACAATCTTTGTTTCGTGCTTAAATTGCACTAAGATATTCATAATAAAGTTGCATGCTATTTTGAAAGTGAAAATATAAAAATGTCAGGAGATTAAAAAAAGTTTTAAATAGCCGCTTTAGACCATATTGTGTTAAGCTCTGGGTGCTCGCTGATCCCCTAAGGAGCATACTATTGTCTAAGGTACTTGAAGGCTCCCAAAATTTCAGGTTCACCGATGTAGTAGCTTGAGGTTGATTGAAACTGAGGATAGTCTTGCGGTATTGGAAATAACGCGAAAGCCCATTCCAAACGTTAGCCTCAAGCGTCGTAAAAAGTGAAGATGTTGGCAGGCATTCTTGATCTTCGAGACCATAAAGTTTCCTGTCAGCCAGCTATACTGTATTGAAATCGGTAGTCATTTCACAGTGTGGGGCTTCGGCGCAGATACACGTTTCCCACACGCTTATTGTGTCTTCTTCATTTAGTTAGTAGGATTGGGAATCAGCTCGGAAGTTGCTGACTTTAGGTGGCTGATGGTAGATATCCATGCCTTGATAGCGGTCATAGCAGGTTTGAATCACAATACGAACAATATAATACCACACTACTTCATCACCACCAGTAATGTCGCAGCATATTGCAATTTACGTGGCCGTTTCTTTACTTTGTCTTATATATCGCCAAGACTCTTTAGGACTCGAAGGATATTATCTTCGGTAATTAATTCTTATTCGTCGTTCTTGTCTCCTCTTGTCACTTCTTCATAACTCCTTTTCATCCCCCAGGTCCTGATGTGAACTCAGAAGTCAGAGAGAAAATTCTTCCTTCCTGATTTAGAGCCACATCAACAGAGAACAGTGAAAGTATTCCATACTCAAAATATTTGGGTTACGCATTCTGTTTATGTAAGTCACAGGCTTCCTGCCCACTGCATGTGAAATTTTGACCATGCCTTTTATCTTTCAGCATTTTGTTTCCTGTTCTGATAGTGCTCACGTTCACCAAGACGCAGTAATTTGCTCTCAGACATTCTAGCTTCCGCTCTGGTTATCAGTTCGTAATTTCAGGGCATCTATGGTATTCACTCTTGAAGTAACCGTATTTTTACTCTGATTAGTACTCAGCAACGACAATAACTGTGACACACGATTCGGCGTTTGCATCTATTAGTTTTTCCGGGAACAGACTCCAATGTCGGATACCTGACAGCTGACATCTAATCTAGCCAGCTTAAACGCCATAGGGGAGAACTACTTCCAAGGTATTGAAATAAGCTCTATTCCTGCTTGGAAGACTGTTTCCGAAGTGCATCGTGATATCCCAAGCACCATGTTTCGTCGCACAGTGGATCCACTAATGACCTATTCCATTCCTAGAAACTTTGATGATCTAAGAAGAGCTGTGCAACGCACAACATGGATGCTCTTTGTCGTTGCGTTTCGGTGTTTATCGGTGATAAACGACAGAAGCGTCAATCGAACAACCAAAAGCGTAAAATCTGAGTGCTAAGCAACCTTTGACCCTATCGCCAAGCACGTGTGTTGCGTTTGTATGCTATGCAAAATTTTCTTCTATTCAGTTTGGGGGCTGCCACCGACTAGCATAAAGAAGAGATGGTAGGCAGCATCATCAGCAGTGAATGGAATAACCATTTCTGTAAAAATGGCACGCACCCGTAAATTCAGGAATATTAATGATGATAATCACTACCTACAAGCTGAACTTCCACCGTAGAGGGTTAGGCACTAGAAAAAATATTAGTTGTATTCAGAATTCAGCAGCAAGAGTAGTAGGCTGGTCGCTTCGTTTAACCCTTGAAGTAGGCCTCACTGTAACCATGCTGTTTCCTTTTGCATGCGTTCACTCAAACAGCTGATGTCGCTTGCTTATGCAGGGAATTTCAGTCACTGACCACGCTGTGGGAAAAAAGTGGATTCAGGCTTAGCTGCTCCCACGGTCAATTTTAAATTTTCTTATGTTGGCCCAAGGGATAATCCGCCGTAGACTGAGGGGAGAAACAGAATATCACTGTGAAGGTCATTACTGAGCATATCGTCATGAAATCAACCCTACTATGAGACTGGTGCAACAAACTCAGTTAATCCGATCGATCCTGATAATACAGATCCGAAGGGCTGACCACGCTCTCGGCAAACTTTAAATACGCTTAAGTGGGTTGTGTCGTTTCATGGGCGTAGATAGACTTCCTGAATGTAGCATCCTGAATGACGAGTGGTGGACGCGGAAGTGTATGCCGATCAGCATCAAGCCACTGGGCTTTTCAAAATTTACATCATCGGCGGGCGGAAGTATTGAATAATTAAGCATGTACTAGAATTCATTAACGTGCATCGGGGAATGGGGGGACCTAGAATTTTCCCTTGAGAAACCATGCTCATTACAGGTTTTTACCCATACAGTTTCTCACTGGTCCACGCTTTTGGCCTTCTGTCATTCAGAAAACCCCTAATCTTGGCTTGCAGTGTAGTGACAAACCTCAAAAGGTTACAGCTAAAAAGTAATGCCACATGTGAGGCCTTGTCGGGTGTTGTTTTGGTCTATGAACACAGCGTTAGCAGCTTGCTAACTAATCTATGTCTCCCGAAAAGAAGTTTCACTAAAGATTGCGCTGTCCAGAAGTGTGTTGCTGTGGTGCCAGAAGATTAGTTGGTTAAACATGGTAAAGCACTTCATTTCCGTCTTTTAGGAAGTCACAGCGTGACAAAACCTCACAAGGACGAGCCGGAAGAGACAAGGTATTACTTGCTTAAGTACCACCGGTAACACCGTGACCTAATAACAACCCACAAAACATCGAGCATTACAAGTTATCCGAACAGTGGAGTACTACCAAACAGCCACCTTGGCAGTCCTCATGGTAATCCAAGGGGAATCATCTACCAAAAGCCAAAAGCTTGCACGCGTTCACACTTTTCCTCTATCCGAGTTTGCGGCCGCTGAAACCCACTGGCTGCCGAGATTACCACTGCTCTGTCTGTCAACAGCTTCAAGGAGAGTTTGGAAATCTGCGTAGCGATGCATGGTTAGCGCTCATCCAACTGGGATACGGACTGGGTTGATACAACCTACTAGTTCCTCACACCCAGCACAGTCAATCACACTCCGAATTGTCTGTACCTCATCTACCACAGCGGACTTGACCCAACCTTATACTTCCCTGTAGACGCCTCCAGTTACTACACTTCTACTTATAGTATAACCCGACCCAAAATCTTACTCACTCCTTTTCTTCCCTCTGACTCCATGATCCTGCACTGTTTATCAAGGTTCCCCCCACCGCTGTCATCCCCCATGAACTTATATAGGTTTCTCCTTTCCTCCCTCTTCCATTCACCTTGTTCATTTTTCTTTTCTTTCTTGCACTTCCTCTCCTTTGTTTCTGCCATATATATGTTCATCCTTTCTGTCCTCCTTTTACAACCAGTTCGACCAACCGTCTGGAGGCACGAAACTAGGAAAACCCATTTTCACTGTGGTCCCTCGAAAAATTACGCGATCTCTACAAATTCCATCGACATCCAACCGCTCATTGCGCTAACCAGAGTTACGGCAAGCTATTGGGTACACCCACTGCACCGGCATCCAGCGAAGACCTGGGACCGTTCTGTAAGACCTAGAAATGAGGACGAAGAAAGCTTATATGACGATTTTGAATGTTAAACTACGCTTGTTTGAATTACATTGCAATAAATCGTTGGGGTCTCGTGCTAACTAGCCACTGGTGTAATTTTTGCTAGCTTTTAGGAAAACGAATATTAATGCTCAATCCAACAAGAAGACTCGTTTTTGTTTTACTGCTCCAAATAAGTACTGTGATTTGATCTTTCGAGGTCAAATAACCTGACTAATAGTTAGGGCTGTTTGCTGTTTTAATGAAGTTAAATGGATGATAAATCTTGCGAGGCCCAAAGGCTGCAAATGACTTTGGCTGATAAAGGTTCTGTGTTTTCATCCGATGAGATACAAGATGTCTTGGGGGTCCTCAGAGAGGTCCCTTTAAAGCTGATAATAACAAACGTTCCGTCTGAAGTTTTCAAGTACAGTATTGCACAGGTTTGTTGTGCAGTATATCCTCATTTCTTTTAGGATTCTTTCGAAGCACTGTTCAATGCCTTTGATAGTCAGTCGAAATTCGTATACCTTCCAAGCTTTCAAAGAGTTTTGGTTAGTCATTGTTTATAAAAATCTTGAATATATGATTTACTCTGTGGTCTCATTGACTAGTGTTTGTTTTTGCATTTTTTTGCCCTGTATTTTGGCTACTCTCAATTTATCGCACGGGATTTGTTTTACAAAACACTTTCTGGCTACTCGATATTTATTCCTCAATATCAATGTAGGTTGCAAAACTTTCAATGTATAGAGTTAACTATCAGAACTAGATCGGTTTTATCATTATCTTCATACAGGAAATCCATGTATTTCAATTACTGTTTGTAGCTGCGTATTTTGCCTTTAGTCACGCGCGGCATTTTCGGAAACCTACTCAGTCTTCATTTGAACTATTTTATCTTCAACATACAGGAGATTCGTCTGTGTTACGGTGTCTAGAAATATGGCGCGTAAATATTCTGGCAATTCGTCGTATCACAGATTAGGAGCACGGACTGAGTAGAAGACTGAAGAGTAATTCTGAATTAACTTATGGGACTTGACCAAGTACCGGTATATGTACTAAGCTACGAACCGCATTATAAAAACGAGGATTTATGTTACTACTTAATTGCTCAGTGTGGTAATTCGGGCAGATTTGAGCCTTGAACGTTTAACTCAAGTTAGTTGCTAAACCCATTAACCATATCTTGAAGAAATTGCAGATCAGTAAAATCGCTTGTTCACTCTCTCACTTTGACTCAAGCCCTTAACGAAATGTCGAAGAATACTATTGTTCTTAGTAAGCATCATTATCTGAGTCTGAGTTGTTCACTTATCAATAAAACAGCAGAACAGTGTTAAATCCACAAAATCTTAAGACGGGAATGTAGTTGCTACTATGACTGGGTAACATCAGTCTAACTTACAGAAATTTTGCAGAGAATAATATTGAGACGAACTGAATTCAGTTCTTCCTCACAGATACTAGGGTCAAGATCTGTTCTTAGATTACTAGTTCAAGACACCACTGTCAAATATAAGTAATTGGATTCGGTTCAGTGGAAAAGCCAATATCAAAATAAGTCAATTAAACATCAGTATACACAAAAAAAAACATGACAAAGATCACAACCTAATCAGCCAATACAAGTAACAACCACAGATCATTTTGAAATCAGACCATGAAGTTGAACAGTAAAGACAAAAAATATTGCGGTAAGGGAGAGATTACAGTTACTTGTTTGAATATCTGATGTAAGAGAGAATAGCAAATGGTGTGCAGAGTAGCTGGATTAATTGTAAATAGTAAAATAACGTTAAGAAATGCGATTGAGAGGCAGTAAATTGAACTAAATTCATTTACTTGTACTGGCAGTAACATGTGCGTCTGATGAACGAAGTGGGTTTTGTGCGAAGTCTCAGCGCGTACAGAAAAGCCCGTCACTGAGGGGTCCAAGACTACGTTTGTCATTGGTAGATGTATCCTTTGTACACGTCATGGTGTCGAAACGTTTTTTCATTTGTAGGTAAGTTTATGGTAGGCTAGGACAGCCTGGTCTTATCATTAGTCCTTTCACAATAAGTGTGGCACATCGTCTAGTGTTTGGACATGTAAATGGCTGCTTAAAGGACTGAGTTAATTTTCTAGTCACTCGACGTTGTGTTTACTACCATATTTAGTGTTAAGCTGTAGTCATAAAGTTCATGAAGTGAAACAAACTTTCCTTAAGAACTCTATTGTAAATTTTTCATACTATGTTTCAATGTTAAAAACAAAGAGTAACATTAACTGCCAGTAGCCAGTGTAGTTTGATAGACTTTCCAGTTTTTCTCAAAATTCTACCATTTTCGTGTTGCAAATGGTTTGTCAATAAGGACTGTGTAACCTCTAGACAAACGGTTGTGGTTCGATTTGTCAGCAGTTGTCATAAACTACACGACAAAAACGAAATAAGAAAAATGCAGACATTCAGTGGTGTTTTCAAGATGTGCATGTGTACCAATGAGATAAATTTTGAGCGATACTATTCACTCTCTAATCGACCAATTAAAGTTATCTCTCAGTACGTAGCTAGAAGGACAACACTAAATGACATGGTTCATGGACTTGTTCCATACCTCTATTTTGTCATCTTAAGTTGTTTTCCTAACTCAGTCTTACTCCATTACGTTTTAGAGTCAACAATGTCTCGCTATATGTTTAAACCAGTTTAGCAGATAAAAGGGTCTCTAACTTCAGTAACTGATATACCTCCATCAATTAGTGATCTATTCATAACCTCCATATCGTCCAAATGTCTCAAAATCTACCATTTGCTATATTTGATGATACTTTTATCCAGTGATATTTTTGTCAGTTGCAGCCAACTGAATATTATCTTTCAGATCTATATGAACAGGCCAGAAGCTGCGTTGTTGGCACGTTTACAGACACAGGGCTGGAAACTTCCTGAACATATTTATGCTAGTATCCCAGATAGTTCAAAGCATAAAAATGATGATGGAATCAGTTGTTATATTGGAAATTTTGGTGATAGTGTCGATTCAGATGAAAACGATGAGGATGAAGAAGAGTGTGACTGTTGTGAAATTCTTGAGGGTTCTGTTAGTGATAATGATGAATACCTAGAGGACAATGAAACTGAATATTTTAAAGAAAATTCAGATTCTCAGACAGCTTCAGCAGGCAACAGTGGATTGTCATATCGAGATATCAGCGAAATAAGTTCAGTCCATTCACTTGAATCTACTGTTTCACCCTCTGTGCCTTTACAAGGTGTCAGGAGTGGTGGTAGTTTCGGCAGTCAAAAAGAGTTGACTGCAGGTCGGACTGGAAGTACTTCTGATTTCGAAAGTACAAGTGAAGCTTCTGGTGACCCCAATACGATCACGCCGTCATCTGTTAGTGATGGACATGTCCGACGCATACTCTGTAAGCATGGCAAGAACAAGCGTCGTCGTGTACTTAGTTCAATGAAGCACTTAGCCCCACCAAAACCCTCTCGGTTATTTCTACTTTCTCCGCCTTCTTCACCTCCTGTTGGCTGGGAGCCGAAACCAGAATGTGAACCTGTCATCAATTATGAACTTTTACAAGCCTTAGCATCATTAGCACCAGGTTAGTTTGTTACTTCATTTTTTAAAACCTTTATTAGTATTATAAACACAAAGTATAGGATTTCTTAACTCGTCATTTGAAAGGAACGTTAATTGAAACATTCATTCTTAAGGTTGCTGAGTTGATGAAGGGTTACCAAATAATACTACATTTATAAAAAGCTCCAAAAAGCTGACCAAGTTTTAAGAAATAATACTGGTTAATCAACTCTTATTAATGTTACATGTTTTCACATTAGTTTATGCACGTGCTTATCTCACTATACATGTTACGTTAATTCTGTAACGATGCTGCTCAGCAGGGCTGCACAGATATTGAGCCACTTTCGTTTGGGTCTAACTCGATCATCGTTTCATGATATGAAGTGACACGATAACAACTGTTAGACAGTTGTAGCGCCGTCTGAACAGCTGTTGCGATAGCCTGTGCTAGATGAATGTGTCGGATCATCATCTCGGAGGATAATAGACTTGAGGGTTCCTGGCTGGGTGCGAGTTGCTTTTCATCGACTTGCCGCATCTCATCTTTATGAACCATGTCAACGCGTGAGTGGTAGGGACTCTCGTGGGACTCCAAGTTCTTTACTCGATAGTCTTTGTGGCGTTGCAAAGTAGTGTCATACAAATGGTGATCTTACGTGCATCGCCTCGCTCAGGCCAACGACACTGTATGGTTGCTGAAGCACCAATATCTTGACCTGATTTAAGAATGTGTTGCCCCATTGATCTAAGTTACCCAATTTAATTGATGAAATTTACTAAGTTGGTCCATAGCTGGGAGGATTGATGTGTTGTCGCACGGTCATTGAAGTAATTTTTATGAAATCATGCAACCAACGTTGCTTATAAAGTTTTGGGGTCTTAAGCAGTGTAATTCAGGTACACAACGTTGAAATTCATTCGGTCAATGTCCACTTGAAATCTGAGATTACCACGTAACGGTCCAAGTTACCACCTCACATCAGCGTATCAAGGTAGAAGGCACCGAGATGAAAGAGGAATATAAGGAAAAGATTAATCAATAGGACTAGAAAGTCATAAAAGGAGAGTTGGAAGAAGTGCAATGCAACGATTAAGGTGAAGATAACGTGTGGATAGGTCTATGTTGCTAGGGCCGGCTCTAACCCATATCACCTTAAGTTTCAAACCGCAGAATTTTTTGTCAGAGGGGCACCAATCGCAGAGTTTACTTTCCTATAGTTGACCTAGATCAACACTCAGGGTCTTAACTCTGTTCCAGCCTAAACCCGCTTCTGCTGATATTACGCGACGTGTTAGACGATGATTAAACATGACTAACACATGTCTCAGCCATCTAAGTCGATGGAAGTTTACACCCTTGTCAGCTGGCTTACCCTTTTTGCCTAAAGCTGTACGTTCGACTTTGCGTTTCCTACCCTTAGTGGTTGCACAACACAACCTATGAAGTGGAGGCATCAATGGTGGAACACTCGAAGCGTTTTCAAAGCCCTCACCTTTAATGTCCCTGTTTCACAACCATAAAATGAAACAAAGTGTGCTCCTGTGTGGTGCATTTGACCTTTAATATGTATGTCATGTATGTCATTAGTATGTCATGGGCATATTGTAGATGGCGCAAGTCGATGAAAGCTAATATGGGGGCCGTTCATGTCCGAGTAGCGATTTAATCGGTCACTGACTTATCAGGGCTAAAAGTGAAGTGGCTAACGCATTCATCCACTTAACTCCCTATTGTTAAACAAGACACCAATGCGAATCAGTTCTAGAGAAACCATTTACATTTTGGTGGTGAGAAAGACATCGTAAATGTTCTTGAATTGCGAGGCAAGGCGTGTAAAAGCCTTTGAATCTTGCTAGCGTCTTCACTTAATAGGACTGTTATTTGCTTACTTTGGGCCTAATAACGCGTTTTCTGTAACAAAGCCAATCCCTACCAAGTCAGATGAGGAGAGGGAGACCTCCAATGTATAAATATGTAAGAAAATTAGATGCGGCCCCGAAAAGTGAGCATTTTTGGTGGTGACCACTGTACGTAAACAAATCACCCGATGCTTCACCTAACGTTCGAACACGTCTACAGGTGTCCGAATATAGAGCCTTCAGCAAGGTGGTATGCTCACCTGGCACCCCCTTCAGCGGAAGACTATGTTAAGGACCTCTCTATTGAAGTTGTCAAATCTCTCCTTTAGGTCTATCAGTATAGTCAGTGCAAGGCGTCAGTTAGTGTGGGGGTGTTTGAAGACGTGGTGAAATGTGAGTGTGTGGTCGATACACAGACGACCAGGTCTGAAGTTTGTCTAGTTTTCTCGTGTTTTCTGTTCTTGGACTTCACTTAGATATCTGATATTTGTAGAACCTAGGATCTTAAACACTTTATCAGACCGATTTCCATACCTTTGTCACAAGAGAATTTCTCGTTCATCTAGAAAACTGGAGCACCCAGTGATTGATGCTATTAAGAAGAGACTATATCTGATTCCCATACGCTAGCTAACTTCACTTAATTTGACCAACAATCTTCAACCGATGTACTCTTACTAACCATTGACACTTTTGCCCTGTTACCTATCTCCACTGCTTTTCCCATCACCTTAACCTTCGCCACCCTCCACTGCTCATGTCCATTGCATAGACTTGTTGTCAACCTACATTTGAGTTGCTTCCGCTCATCATTTTGCTTAGAGCTTGCAGGAATGTATTCACGTGCATTCATTAATTCAGAAGAAGCTGTCGTTATAAGTTAACCTCGCCTGGTTAACTAGTTCACTAGTTACTAGCTGGTCCTAAGCCCAGCTAAAGAGGGAAGGTTGGGCATATGGCTAGCAACCCTACCCTGTAAAACCAACCCAACTGCTAAACAAACACCAAAGCACAAAGAAAATATAAAACATAAAAATAAACTTATTCCTCGCTGGAATCGGAGAGGCGAAATGACGTCAGTTGGTGAAAGCCTTCGGAAAACCAATTGGCCGATGTGTCTTTTCTCGATGAAAGCAAAAGTAAGACTAGGGACGTGGAATGTCCGCACTATGTATAAACCTAGCGGGTGGCCCAGATTGCAAAAGAGATGAGAAGATATAGCATAAAAGTGCTAGGAATTCGCTAGGGATAAGTAGATGGAAGTGGACTCTCCAAACTGTCAACTGGAAACGAGTCAATAATCTACTCTGGTATTGTCACCCAGACGACAACCATTGGGACGTTGAGTTTTGGAGTGGCTATCATGATGTCTCCAACAGTATCAAAGGCTCTCTGTCATGCAGTGGGAACCAATTTCCTCCTGCAGGATAAGGATCATGACAGCCAGATGGATTCAAGTCTAAAGGAAGGAAAGTCACAATCATACAGTGCTACGCTATGCACCTCCAAAACATACAGATTAAGAGAAGAAGGAGGCATTCTACAGACAACTGCAATCAGTACAGGACAAGACGCCACCTCATATGGCGACATCAAAATTCTAATGGGTGAAATGTTTTAATGCCAAACCGGAAGCAGAAAACACAGGAAGAGAACTTATCATGGGTCGAGAGGCACTCTGTGAAATGAATGAGAATGGAGAATTGTTTGCAGACTTCTGTGCATTCAACGATTTGGTGATTGGAGTGAGGCAGTGTGTATTCACAAACCAACATGAACTTGATTTCACCAGGACACACTACACTAAAAATCAAGTCGATTTCATCTCAATGTGAAGAAAGTGGAGACGCAGTCAGTCTACAGGACACAAGATGAAGAAGGGGAGCAGATGTAGGTCCACACCACTCCGCATCTAGTGCAAGGAACCCACTTTCAAAATCAAGTTAAGAGCCTTCAGAGAAGATGGTGATAGACGGCCACAGTTGAAGTTGACCACCTAGATCAGAAACTGAACTGAAGGAAGAAACTACGAAGGACATCTTCACGTCAGTCAGTAATCAGGGAAAAATGGGAGACATTGAGCAACATCCCTGAAAGAACCTGCGTGAAAAAACGCTGGAACTCTTTGAAAGAGATGTGGAGAGAAACCTGCATAACCATATTAGGAAGGAAGAAGAAGAAACAGGATAAGGTATGGATCTCGACAGACAGATAGAGGCTGATAGAGTAGGGGGAGTAAGATGGTGAAGTAGAAGGTGAACCAGTGCAAGGATGAACAACGAAAAGAGGAACTGAACACAACCTATAAAACACTGCATAAAGAAGTGAAGAAAAGTGTGTGCAAAGACAAGAAACACTTCTACGATACATTACCAAGTGAAGCAGAACAGGCTAGAGGTAGGAGGGACAGAGACCTGACAACACTATATCAAGTAACCAGGTTACTATCTGGGACGGGAGAAATCAACGTAGACGAAACCAATGAAAGATAGTGAAGGAAACTTAGTTACCAAAGCAGAGAAGCAAAGAAAACGATAGGCTGACCACTTCAAGAAATTCTTGAATCCGCTGTCACCTACAACTCGTCCATAAATACCACCAGCAACGGCAGAACTACCAGTGAACACAAGCCCTCCGACAAAAGCGGAAGTCCTGAACGCCATAAAGTTGTTGAAAACTGGAAAAGCAGCGAAACCAAATGGGATTCCTCTAGAAGCACTGAAAACAGATGCAGAGACAACAGCGGACATGGTCACACCATTATTGCAGAAGCTTTGGAAGTGAGGTTAGAAAAGCATCTACCGATTGAAAAAGGGTCACCTTGTGAAACACCCTATCCACTCCAAGCAAAATATTAAGCCCCATCATACTGGAGAGACTAAACAATAACCTGGATTCAAAGCTACAACTGGAACAGGCTCGCTGGATTTAGGAAGTAAAATTTCATGTGCGGATCAAATTGCAACGCTACGCATCATCATAGAACAGAAAGAAGAATGGCAGTCAACTCAACTTCATCGACTTTGAAAACACCTTTGACAGCGTCGACCGAGAAGTAACCTGGAAACTGCTTCAACACTACGGATTTAATGTCACAAACCTTTATCAACCTCACTCAACAGCTATATGAAGATGCCACATGCCAAGTGATTCACAATGGAAAGCTCAGTAACGCCTTTCAAGTGAAGACAGGGGACAGGAGTAAGACAAGATTACCGCCTACTATCATCGATCATCTTCCTCATTGTGGTGGACTAGACCATGCAACAAACCGTGAGGAACGAGAAGAGGGGGATACGCTGGATCGGGGAAAGAAACTAGAAGATTTGGATTTCGTCAACGATGATGATTTATGTCTGGTATCAAGTTGCACAAACTCGAAGATCTACAGGCAAAAACCAACAAGTTGACAGAAGAGGTAGGGCAGCGAAAACAGGACTTCAAGTGAAAGTAGAGAAGACAGAGGTGATGAAGATACTCAACGAACAATAATATGGTTCTGAGACTTGGCGCGTCACGAAAAGCACTTCAAACAAACTACAGATATTCATCAACAACTGCCTACGCTGGATACTGAAGATCAGATCAGATGGCCAGAATAATAAGAATAAGCAACAAGGAACTCACTCTGGCATTGAACCAACCAAGAACCTATCGTCCAACAAATGTGGAGACGGATTGGATTAGGCATGCACTGAGAAAACCGTTGGGAGACATCACGTGGCACGCCGTCGAGTGGAATCCTTGGGCGTCTGAGGCGAGGGTGACATTGAAGTGATGGTGTGAGGGAGAAATGAGAGCTTCTGGGCAGTCGTGGAGCCAGGTTGAAAAGACTAGAGAAGAGAGCGGAATGAAGACATGCTACTGAATCTCTGTGTTCTACTAGGAACCCAAGGAACGAATAATAATATCGTTATAAGTTGACTTTTCTTAACCTTACTGCACGTGTTTATTACAGTCTTTAACACTGTTGCTTGCAGACGTCTGTAGGTGGCGCCAGGTTCCTTTGGTATAAGAGGTGCTGTCCTGTTCCGATGTCTCTAACCAGTTCCTCATTGAAATCAGTCTTAGTATTCTCATAATCGGACTGCATTCAGAACAGTCTTTCAGCTGCAGTTTTTCTACGTCCGTCTAAGTATTGACAGGTGTGTTCGAATCAACGCATGATTACTGTCCCAAACACGCACTCAAAAAAGAGCGGCAAACTCATATCAATCCTGTCCAATAATAACGGAAAGTAATGTGATAATCTGTCTCCACCCATCGTTAAGTTGAGGTCGATTTACGTCACGCTAGACAATATCTATTTTCATTTCTATAGTTCCTGCTGGTCTTAAGTAGGTGATTATCCGAGGACAACAATAGCAGGCGACTTCCATCATCCATTTTTTCGGGTGGGATTCCGAAAGTGCTACCGAATTGCCTTTCTATGTGAACCAGCGTATACAATTATGCATTGAAATTGCTTGCTATGACAAACACATTTGAGCGTTTGGTTTTCAGTACGGGGTAGACAGTTTTCGGTAGAACTCAACTTTCATTTACTTTGGGCTGTAGAGACAACCGTAGGTTTCGCTGTCAGTTTTAGTCCTCACTTCACCGTTCAATCAGACAGTGCACAGGTGTCTGTCAAGTGGAAGCCAGTCGAGCAGTACACTTCCTGCCTTATAACTTACAACCATCAAGATCGCAAGAATAAGCGATTGAATTTACAGTTTCAGGGAATAACCTCACTGGGTTCCCATATATATATATATATATATATATATATATATATATATATATATATATATATATATATATATATATATATATATATATATATATATATATATACAAACATGACACGTTCACAACTCAAGATGTCAGAGTCTCCGACTTGCGAAACTGTTTTTTCAAATTGGACAGGGGGTGTGCACATTCAAAACTCCAATAAGCAGTTTGGAGCGCAGTTTCAAGAGACCTTGGATGCTGTTCCATGGACTCAACTCTTCATCAACGGCTGTAGACGTGGAAGAAAATAAAGATGTAGGAATATTGACCAGGAAATGTGAGGAAAAATTGGCAAGCAAAGATGTTTAATAACGATAATAATCGGAGGGAACTCGAATATTGATAGAGTTGCGAAGGTGGTTATCACTTCCCACACCGTTTAAGGTTACTTCTTCTTGAGGTACTTTTAAAGAGAAATTACGTTAGCATTAGTTGTGAGTGGTTACGGAACCCAAGGGGCATCTAGTTGATGTCCATCACACATGGTCTTTTAGAGAGATTTTGGTTTTTGATTCATTATACCATGTCCGGACTTAAAAAGCCATACCACCAACACCGGAAAACCGTAGGGCAGGAAAAAGTGTCTTGCTTTTAGTGGTGACATTTTTGTGTCTTTGCATTTTGATTTGGGAAAGTATCATCAGCATGTTTGCTGGTCATCAGCGGAAAACAGCTTAACGCTGTCACACTCGATACAACCAGCATTACAACTTCCATGTCATATGTTTACGATAGGGTAACTGTTTTTAGTCTTGTCAATACCCAACAGACTGACATCGTAAGACCTCAAGGAGGAAATGTTTACGTCAAAATAGCTTGGTTTGTTATTGCGATATACAAACCTGGCCACCACATCAAGGTACTATTTATTGTTTGAGTGTAGAAATTCCCACCATTTACGACATAACATTATCTTGGAAAAGTAGGTTCAGGCTGGAAAAAACGGCCTGACGCGGCCAGACCAAAATATGGCATCAATGTATGAAGTTGTTGACTGTTGGTTTGAGCCATGCGGGGCGATGCAGACTAGCTTGTTGGGGTCCGTGGAACAAAGGAAAACAGTGGTTGGAGATTCTAGGTGATCACATGGCTCAGAACCGATGCGAGTGGCTCAGGTGTATACACATTTCCCCATCTTAATGTTATGCTGAATCTTACCATTTTCTCATTCTTCCTTTCTCTCTTTTCATACTTTATATTTCGTTTGACTGAATTTTCTCTTCTTCATCTCCTATTTCACTACCTTCTTACTTGATGTATTGATATGAACTGTGACAACTCGGACCGTTACGCAGTTATAACTGGTCCTATGCTGATAGATGATGATGATGATGATGATGATGATGATGATGATGATAAAGTGAGGGTAAGTTTTGTCACATGAAATAGTTTTCGTTGGTTATTTACATCTCTCCAAATGTTTGTAAGAAATTCGCTTAAGTCGATAGATGAAAACCGGTCTTTATATATAGTGACAGTCAAGAAACCACTGTGGACTGTTGTTCACTAATTTCACATATGTTTACATTATCACGATATTTACATTAGTAGTATTTGTAGTTTTCTTCCAACTGTCCAAGGAGGAGTGAGTACTTTATACGATATAATGGAAGTAGCCCAGTATGATTAGTGGGTTATTTTGACTGAAATAAGTTTGCATTACAACATTGACATTTTTGATACATATGTACTGCTGAGGAGTCCCATACTAGGATGAAATAGCTGTCCAGTGCTCCCAGACTTTCAAGGGTTCCCCAACTGATGTCAGTCCATGATGAATACTACTTCTAAATTAAAAAAAATCCCCATTCATCTCAAAAATACATATGTTATTATTTAATTTATTTTCTCATTTTCATAATGTTGTTTAGTATAATGGTGTCCTGAGATCAGTCGATTTAATTATTGCTTTTTAAAATAATAATATCATATTTACTGATACAAATGCTTGTTTACCAAGGGGAAACATTTGAACTGCATCCACGTGATCAAGAGAATCGTCATCCCAGTATTGTTATCACACCATGTGAAACTGATTCAGCATGCAATAAAAGCGGTACAAAGCTTCAAATTGTACAAACTAGATGCCCCGATCGTAAATAATGACAAAATGGATGATAATGGTGATGTCCTACAATAGTGTTGTGATGAATACAAGAAAGCGATATATTACCGTCGACGTCTTTCGATAAATTATATCTACATGGATGAATGCATATTCATACACAATACACATGATATAATATATAAATTTTTCATTTTTCACTATTTCTTTAAACAGGCAAAAGTGTACCCTTCATACACAACATGAGTATCTGTATGAAATTGACCGGTTATATAAATTGCTTAAATACATCCGGATACTCTTGGTTGTATTGTGTTCTCTGAGCTGGGTTGTTTACTCGTGAAGCTTTCGTCGTCTTTTTGGACGACATTAGCAGCACCAACTTCAGTATGAAGAGGATGAAAGCTTCACGATTAAACAACCCGGCTCAGAGAACACAATACAACCAGAACTATCCATCTGAACTACAAATATTCTCCATTATTTCAACATCTGGATACTTTTACACCATCCCTTTCTGCGTATTTCTATTTCTCAGGTCCCCCCCCCCCACTCTTACAGGAAGTGATTAGAAGTGTTAAGTGTATTCTCGTTTGTTTCATATTTTCCCCTGACAGTATTCAGCCTTTATTTTGTGTTAACCTACTCAAGGTGCTACTATTTGAATGAATATTTTTCTGTTTTTTGTTTTCTATCTTGTAACGACTACTACTACTACTACTACTACTACTACTACTACTACTACTATCACCGTCACTAGTGAAACAGTGATACAGTATTAAGTGTATATTTCTGTTTTATAGCTACTCCTGGTCATGATCTCTTTGAATAATGTCCTAACACTACTTTTGATTGTAACATCTTTTTCATCATTGTCATAACAAGGTAGTTTGTGTTATAGTTAGTTATCTTGGATGTGTCTGCCTCTTTGCATTATTATTCTTTCCTGTTTTCTCTTTTTTTTCCTTTTTAGTCATTGTTTATGACTATTATCATACTCAAGGTTGTTTTTTTTTCTTCACGTGTACATGTTTACTGCTTCGGTTGAGTGAGTAATTTTGATAATTAAGGAATATGACAACAGCTAAGTGATAAACTTAATGTCATTATTCAACTTGAAGAATTGCATTTCTTCCTATTATTATTATTATTATTATTACTTCCACCGTTTATGTTGTTTTCATCCTTTCAATCTTCCCATATGCATTCACACTTGAATAACTCTTATGATTTATTTCGTTATATTCAATGCAAAAGCTGTTTTTCTTCTTTATGATTTCGAAATATATCTGATGTTATTTTTCGTCTTCATTTTCTGTTGTATTCAAAGTTATTTACAGTGAGTTGTAGACAGTTTGCTGAACTGTTATATATGAAGGAGGCAGTTATCTAACTTTCCATATGGAACTGTTACTCACTAGTCTAGGTGGTCAACTTTCAACCAATAGGTTGTAAGTGAATTGAAGGTTAAAATAATCTAGATCATGGGGCTATATTTCCATAATTAGCACAGTATCAACACTAATAAACTTCTTACTATTTATTGACATACTTGTTATTCTCCGTTGTTTTGTTGGATCGAATTGTTCAACCTCACGCGTCCTGGATTCTTCTGCTAGCCACAACCAACCAAATTAACTAATAAACTTCCTTCCAAAAGTGATATAACATTTCTAAGATGAAGAGTTACTTACATAACCATGAAGGTAAATATTATTAGTCCTTGGGTTCCTAGTGGAACATAGGGCTTCAGCAGCACGCCTCCATTGCATTCTGTTCTCTGCAAACTTTTCAACCTGGCTCCACGACTGCCCAGAAGCTCTCATTTCCCCCTCACACCATCACTTCAATGTCACCCTCGCCTCAGACGCCCAAGGATTCCACTCGACGGCGTACCACGTGATGTCTCCCAACGGTTTTCTCAGTGCATGCCTAATCCAATCCATCTCCACTTTCTTCCTCTCCACATTTGTTGGACGATAGGTTCTTGGTTGGTTCACTGCCAGAGTGAGTTCCTTGTTGCTTATTCTTATTATTCTGGCCATCTGATCTGATCTGATCTTCAGTATCCAGCGTAGGCAGTTGTTGATGAATATCTGTAGTTTGTTTGAAGTGCTTTTCGTGACGCGCCAAGTCTCAGAACCATATTATTGTTCGTTGAGTATCTTCATCACCTCTGTCTTCTCTACTTTCACTTGAAGTCCTGTTTTCGCTGCCCTACCTCTTCTGTCAACTTGTTGGTTTTTGCCTGTAGATCTTCGAGTTTGTGCAACTTGATACCAGACATAAATCATCATCGTTGACGAAATCCAAATCTTCTAGTTTCTTTCCCCCGATCCAGCGTATCCCCCTCTTCTCGTTCCTCACGGTTTGTTGCATGGTCTAGTCCACCACAATGAGGAAGATGATCGATGATAGTAGGCGGTAATCTTGTCTTACTCCTGTCCCCTGTCTTCACTTGAAAGGCGTTACTGAGCTTTCCATTGTGAATCACTTGGCATGTGGCATCTTCATATAGTTGTTGAGTGAGGTTGATAAAGGTTTGTGACATTAAATCCGTAGTGTTGAAGCAGTTTCCAAGTTACTTCTCGGTCGACGCTGTCAAAGGCCTTTTCAAAGTCGATGAAGGTTAATACGTGGACCAGATAAATAGGTGAAGCTACTTAGGAGTACGTACATTTACGGAGGTCCTATTCCTTTTGCTTTTAAATCTGTTGAAATAGAGGAGTGAATGAGATTGCAGTACAATTTGCATTATACCTAACCATAAAGTTTATTAAATGACGCAAAAATCGATTACTCGCGTGATATTTAAGACATAGCACTTAAAGTTTCTGCTTATACTGGCAACTACTCTTCATCTGAAGGCATAAACTGACTACTTGGAATGTGGCAAGAGTGTAAATCGTATATACCTGGCTTATGTCTGTCACTGGTTGGGTAGCCTTGATAGCGATTACCTACTGATTGCAAATAATCTTACCATTCCGAGAACTTCCGAAATGAGCAAGCTACTGAGTTAAACGACGACAGAGTTGAAAATAATGAGTAATATACAGCAAATGTAAAGGTGAAATTGATGTTTAACCTAAGTAGCCATGGAAGAGTGAAGTGAGTACTTTGAAGTCCTTATTGTTGGTTGTTACATTGTATCTTGTGCATAGATTGTTGGATTACCTTGGTTCTGTGACTTACTCATGTAGTGGATTGAGATGTAAAGAAATAAGGGCACTCACTGCACACAAACAATCACTAATAACCTAGAGTATCCAATGTTTCATTCAGTCATGCAAATGTTGAAAGCTGAAGGTTGGTGTACGATTGTAAGAACAGTTTGTTTTAGGACAAAACGCACTATTTGCATATGTATGCAAATCGGTGTTCATAAAAAGACGCTAGAGGAAGCAACTAAGAGATTCTGACTGGTCTACTGAAAAAAGTTGTCCTATAACACCGCCCTGGTCACATCTGCATAAATCGAAAATTGAAGCTCTAAAGCAGTACATAACTAATAGCTTAGGATCTTAATTTTTAGACTGTCAGTCACTGGTTCAAATCACGCCATACCAAGATCTGAGCTATCCGGAAGTACTATTAACTCTTACGCAATAGTTATGATTTTCAGCTTAATTCATAGATCTGTGCTTTCTTACTGAGTTGCACTTTGCCTTTATTGAGCCTTTAGTGCAATTCCACTAGTTATTTTTTAGTTACAATCATGGATTAGCATCAGCTAAAGAACCATTGAAAACTTGGCAGTATCACCCGATGTTCTAGCACAAAGCTGTTACCTGTGGGGTGAACCAAGTCAGGAGCAAGGACTGATAACATTGGATAACGTTTGCATCATACTCCAATTCGATAGGATTAAGGAAAGTGGACTAATGGATTCAACCCTGTCGACTGAGCTATCACATACTGGGTGCGAGTCCTGGCGTGGATGTGAACTAGAACAAAACAGTTGTATTATGCTCCGAGGTTTTAAGTGACTCAGTTAATGATATCATTCCAGGATGAAAACTAACCTGAAACAGATAGTCTTCAAAACGGAATTACTACAGCAGTTGCAAGCCCCTATACCCTATATGCAGTATGTTGAAGACTATGTAGTTAGGATGATGGAAGTTTCGTCACCTTCAGTGTACCTTATGGTATCGATTCTATTATGCAGAGAAATAAGTGGTTGATACCGCTATTTTTTGTCTGATATTAGTCATGGCATTTATCTAAAGCGAAAATTTAACCTGGGAATTTAAATTTAAGGACGACTGACTAGGCAATTGGAATTATGTAACTTTCTTCCAAATAACTGGAACTTCCATTCATTACTGCATTTCATATTACTCGATGTACTGTTTGATGAAGATTCCAACTTACTGTTAACCCCATAAATGACTATAAACCATGTTCTAGAGGATACCCGATTGTAGTGGACTGGATCATGCAGCAAACTGAGGAGTGAGATGGGCATAAGCTAGACCGATGAAAAGACCTTAAAATATTTGGATTTTGCCGACTATTTGTGTCTAATATCTCACAAACTCGAAGGTCTACAGATGAAAGCTAACAAGTTGACAGAAGAGGCGAGGCAGCGAAAACGGGACTCCAAGTGAACGTTGAGAAAACAGAGATGACGAATATACCTAACCATCAGCGACAAGCACCAATCACCATGAACGGGAGAAACCTAAAGGAAGTTGTTTCTCCCACCTACCTACCTATGCGGCAGCGTTTCAACTGCAGGCGGCGGCACAGATGAGGATGTCAAAGCCAGCCAGGATTGAAAAAGTAAGACAGGCCTTCATAAATCAGTGTGGAAATCTACTGCACTGAGCATAAAGCATGAACAAGATCCGGACTTTGAACACCAACGTCAAGTCAGTATTTTTTATGGTTCAGAGACTTGTTGAGTCACGAAGAGCATTTCCAACAAACTACAGACATCCATCAGCAGCTGCCGCCTACACTCACTCGGTACTGACCCTGGAGATCAGATGACCAGAATAATAAGAATAAGCAACAAGGAACTGACTGTGGCAATTAACCAACCAAGAACCCATCGCCCAACAAATGTGGAGATGGACTGGATTGGACATACACTGAGAAGACTATTTGGGGACATGACGCGCGAGGCCAGGCCCTCGAGTGGAACGGAGATGGGAAACGACGAGTTGGGTGTCCGAGGTGAGGGTGACACAGAGGAGATGGTGTGAGCAAGAAGTGAAAGGTTGTGGGGAGTCATGGAGTCAGGTTGAAAAGAGTGCAGAGAAGAGAGTGCAATGGAGACGTGCTACTGAATCCTTATATCCACTAGGAGCCCAGGGAACAAATAATAATAATAATAATAGTATTGCTGTTTAATGAAAGTAAATCGTAATCGTATGCCTAGAAAGAAGAGTCATATCCGACAGAACAGAATTCGTTCCAACTTAAGTTAGAATGCAGGTTGGTATTCATCATGAATTGATATCAATTGGTGAAACGCTGAGGACACGGGGGCACTGGACGAATATTTTGTCCTAGTGTGGGACTCCTCAGTAGTGCCCACCAGTGACCGAACTCCTGACCTTCGCGTTCCGCGGCCAACAGGTTACCGTTGAGCCGGTGTCAGAACCCAATAGTCCATATTTCTAGAGGCGATTCCTGAAATTCAATGCGAAGTAGTGATCAGTGGGGCCAACCAAATCGAAGATGAGGGCAGTTACTCGAAGACGGCTTTGGATAGAGGTTGCGCCATATCGTTAACTGACAGGAGTAGGAAATATGGACCACAGGATTCCTGCTCAGTGGTAACGCACTGGCTGTGGGACCTGAGGGTGCTGGGTTTGACAACTAGTGAGGCGGAGTGATGGGTGTGCACTGCTGAGGAGTTCGTGCTAGGACGAAACAGCTGTCCAGATTTCCTAGGGTTCCACTGTTTTTCCAAATGATCCCAGCCCATGAAGAATACCAACCTGAAATCCATAAGTCCCCAGAAACCTTAAAATTGTTAAGTTAGAGTGGATTGACTGGTTAGTGACTCTTAGTCTATCTAATGACAAGACTGTAATCATGTTACTTTTACCACATCTTTATATGAGTAAGTAAATACGAAATATACTTAGTCACATTTATCTGTAAGTTTTGTTTTCGAGTGTTGATATATTGAGAATTCGGAAACAGTTTTCGTTCGAGTACTTTTAGTGAATAAAAGTACCAGGATTGTGAAAAAATATCGATTTGGTGAGTCCATTTTTTGAAGCATTCAGTCTTTTAGCGGGATTATCTGAAATAAAAATGAAGAATTGGGGTTTACTGTTCCCCGTTGGAA